TTTATTTTATTTTATTTTATTTTATTTTATTTTATTTTATTTTATTTGTATGTGCGTGTGTGCGTGTGTGTGTGTGTGTGTGTGTGTGTGTGTGTGTGTGTGTTTTGTAATGAATTAGAGTTTGAAAGTCTAAAACTCAGTGCCAGCTGAACTCTTAATTTGTGTTTATTTTTAACCATATTTGGTGAGGATGTTTAGGAAATTACTTCCTCAGCCTGTTTGGATATTTACTTTTATTGATTCTGACTACCAGAAATTCAAAAAACAGGATGAAATGCTTACTCTCAGGAAGGTGTGGAGTCTATGAAAAAATAAAATGTAGACTAAAGAACAATACAACCAAGAAAAAACCAAAATGAGGGAAACAACCCCCTCCCCCCCACCCCAGGATAGAGCAGCCGTTAGTTTTTAACTCGGTTGATTAGGGCCTGTAAGTAGGAGAGTTTTATGGGCCATTTAGTTCCTTCATCTTCATTTCTTCTCCTCCTTCTCTTCCCTCTTCTCCTCCTTCTCCATAATGATAATTGCTAGTAATTCATGCAGAAAAGGAAGTTGATAAACAAAGCCTAAATGAATATTAATCACCTTAATAGATAATATTATTTTTGGACACAGTAGAATCCAGAGAACATTCTCCTGGGGAGTGCTCTCAATGACCTTGTTTTTTGGGAGAATATAATTAGCACTGGTGTCATAGCCTTCCATTAAGCTTATATTTTATTCTATGTATTTATATTTTAGAAGGTAGACTGACCACCTATACATTTGGTGTCTTGACATGAGTTCTAACAAAATTGGGTTTTTAAAATTAATGTCTAAGCAAAATTACCACATTTTCATTATTGAACATTATTTAAAAAAAAAAAAATTCTGTTTCTACCACAGTCAGGCTTCCAAAGGAATGAATAAAACAGTGCTGAATTGTAATGTGTACATTCTTCAGCTCCTATAATAGGTTGTTTGTCCTTAAAAGGTTTAAAAGTTTTTTGTTTCCATATCTCAAGTTGAAAAGTATTATCTAATATTTACACATGTCTATGTTTACTCTCTTTAATTGTGAGTCAGTTTTAACACATGAGATATGAGACATTTGTGTGGTCATGACTCTCAGGCAGTAGAATGTGTTATTCTCCTTAGGTGATAACCCAGTGAGTGATGCAGGATTTGGCTCCAAATACAATGGTTGATCGCACAACAGGTTTCAGCACCATTGCTCTTGAAAACCATTTTGGTCAAGGGTAGAACTTTTTAAAGATTAAAACAGATAATGTAGTATCAAAAGGTATTTTGCTGGTCAGCTAAAATTCCATGAGGATAGGATTATGCACCATAAACTTTATCCTCCTTTCTGATGATTTTAAGATATGATTTTTAGAGATGGATTAAATGGACATTCCCTTTGTATTTGTAATGCATATTCCAAATTACTACAGTAGATTTACTGTGCAGTTTTGCTTGAACTCCAGGGATCTGAGGGCTGGCTTGGTCAAATGACTTCCAAGAGTGCTCTGGTTATTAACATGCTTAATGTTGTAAGCCAGATGAAATAAGGAAGCTAGCAGAAAAGCCCAGCTTTCTTTAGAGACAGTGCACTATATCTTGCTTTAATTTGCTCCTTGGAGTCTTTGCATGCTATTGGTGATCTAGGTAAGACAAGGTTACAAAAAGGTCTTTCTAGTATTTCTCCAAGGCAGGGTTTCTGCTTTATACTGAATTCCATAAATTTGGAGTTCATTAAATGCTTAAGTAGTCTTAAATTCACAAAGATACTATATTTTAGTTTATACTAAAGGTTTACAATCTGCCATCCAAATTTCTTGGGGCCAAAAATGCTTAAGAATTCAGATTTCCACCTGCCTCTCAATTTGGGAAGGGTAATATTGTGCACATACTATATGCTATGTAATACTTACAGCAAGGTCTGGGCCAAAACCCCATGATCAAATAGATTCATATTTTCCTAGCAAAATATCAACGTCCACAGTGAGATAGAGACTATAATCTGTCTTCAGGTCAAATATTTTTCACCAAAATTTATGAAAGACCCTTTTCAGAGCTTTTTGGATTTTGGGGATTTCAGAGAAAAGATTTTAGGTCTGTACAATTTTGTTTTTCTGCTATAACTTGGTAAGAGTTTGTGAAGCTTTTAAATATTTATCAATAAAAGGAAGCATTATAAAATTGTTTTAAAACCTTAAATGCTTATAATATCTTTAAAATATTTGGAAACTTGGGGTGCCTGGGTGGCTCAGTCGGTTAAACGTCTGACTTCAGCTCAGCTGATTTCACTGCTCGTGGGTTCAAACTCCACATTGGGGTATTTGCTGACAGCGCAGAGCCTGGAGTCTGCTTCCGATTCTGTGTCTCCTTTTCTCTCTGTTCCTCTCTGGCTCGCACTCTGTCTCTTTCTCTCAAAAATAAATAAACATTAAAAAATATTAGAAAAATAAAATATTTGGAAGCTTTTGTTATTTTAGTGTTGTTGATATAAAGACGGTAAAGTATTGCCCTTCCTTGCAGCCGGAACCGCCATCTTCCAGTAATTCGCCAAAATGACCAACACAAAGGGAAAGAGGAGAAGTACTCTCCTCTAGGTCTTTTAGAAAACATGGAGTTGTTCCTTTGGCAACATACAGGCGAATCTACAAGAAAGGTGATATTGTGGACATCAAGGGAATGGGCACTGTTCAAAAAGGAATACCCCACAAATGTTATGGCAAAACTGTAACAGTCTATAGTGGTACCCAGCATGCTGTTGGCATTGTTGTAAACAAGTTAAGGGCAAGATTCTTGCCAAGAGAATTAATGTACGATTGAGCATATTAAGCACTCAAAGAGCTGAGATAGCTTCCTTAAGCATGTGAAGGAAAATGATCAGAAAAAGAAGAAAGCCAAGGAGGAAGGTACTTGGGTTCAACTGAAGCGCCAGCCTGCCCCACCCAGCAAAGCACACACTTTGTGAGGACCAATGGAAAGGAGGCTGAGCTGCTGGAACCCATTCCCTATGAATTCATGGCATGATAATTGTAAAAAAAAAAACCAAAAAAACAAAACAAAACAAAAAAAACCTCAAGACTGTAAAAAAAAAAAAGACAGTAAAGTATTACTGATACTAGGTTAAACAGACAAGATCAATATTTGCTTCAGTTATAAAGATGAGATCAAATTATATTTTTAAATTTTGCTAAATTTTCATTAGAAACATTGAATACTGGTATACTTGTGATACACATAATCACGTTCCTCCTCCAGCTCTCTTGATTACGTTCCCACTTTCCCATTCTAGGAATTTCCCTTCTGTAGTTATTCCCTTTCTTTCTTGTATCATTTTGGGTCATTTCCCCCTGATCATTCACATCAACTTGTGAGCCTACTTTAGATTATTCTGTGTTAAAAAAAATCTGCAATTAGATTTAAATTTGCATTTTCAGTTGAATACCATAATGAAATAGATGCTGCATTCTAGAGTAGGTGCTAAATCGTATTCAGAATTTCCAGAGGAGTTTTAGGAAAGTGGTTATGTGGTCCTTGAATACTACACTTGCATTTGAGTATAGAAAGGTCAGATTAAAAAGCAGGATTTGGAGATTTCTTTGAAAAGCAGCCCTGTAAGAAGTCTTTTTCCTCCTTTCACAGCCCTTCATCTCAGATGTGAGAGGACATTCAAAGAGTCCACTTGGAGAACATGATGATGTCTTAGTGAACCCAGTGTGTGACTCCAAACTGTGTGGGGGGAGGGGGATAAAAAAACAAAGAAAACAAAAAACTTAGGCAGAGATGGAATGGTTTAGAAAAACAAGATGAAGAAAAATTGATGATGCCTAAATTCTAAGTATAACCTCAGGGTTTATTTGGGCAAAGAATGCAGGAGAGTTTCTTACGGGTTTCTTAGGGTCATAAATGAGAAGAGGTTGCTCTGGAACCACTGCTGCTTTGACCTAATAGGATCATCTTTTGAGGATGGAAAAAGTTTCAACAGAGGAGAAGCTTGGAGATGGTCTGAGTGAGGCAAGATAAAGGAATTGCAAGAATAGAGCACATTCATCTGGTCTAGGGAAATCGAGGTGAGAGGCCACAAGTGTTGTGGGTCACCAAGGAACCCATGAAAAAGTTCCACAGAGGACACACCTCTAAACCTTCATTGAGCCAAAGAGCACAAAGCCAGCTGACAACAGCACTGTTACATAGACGCTTTCCTGTGCTTCGCATCCACCTTCATTTCCACCTCCTTCCTTTTCCTTCCAACCCCAGAAAGGATGAAAAAAAACAGCCAGCCATAGGAGGGGAGGTAAGAGAGAATGAACTTAATACCCCAATGCTTCTTTGTCACCCAAGGAATTTACAAGGTGTTATTTCTATGAGCATTATTGGATTTGAGATTAGACCTCCATCTATAAATTTTCCACAAAACCATAATTCACATATATCTTTCCTTTGGATGGATTTGGAGGCTTTGACTCTTCCGTGGTATTGGACATTTTAACTACAAAGTTGACATTATGTTTAATGACTTAAGGTAGGAGTTGGGAATTACCAAGAATTATTAGAAAAGTCATGGGATTACCTAAATTTTCATCCAGGGAAAGAAGAAAAAAAGTAATCCCTGAATAGATTTTAAAAGAAGGAGGTAAAAACAAATTTGATCCTAATTACTTCCTATGAGTCTTTTTTGGTCAATTTAATGGTTGAAAATTTATCAGCTCCTCTATTTCCTTCTAGTAAGTGTACAGTTTTGTCTACCTCTTGTAGAACAAAACTCAGCTTCCTCGTTGAAGAAACATTTCCTAGACTCACTCCTTTTTCTCCATACTTCTCTCATTCATGATTCATTCCCCTCAAAAAAAATGGTCATTTCTGTCACTCCAGGGAAACTAATCTTAAATATCACCAATGACCTACCTGTTGTCAAATTCAACATACACTTCTCCTTTTATTCTTTTTTTTTTTTTTAACAATTTTTAAAGTTTATTTATTCTGAGAGAAAGAGAAAGAGTGCAGGAGGGGGAGAGAGAGAGAGAGAGAGAGAGAGAGAGAGAGAGAGAGAGAATCCCAAGCAGGCTCCACACTGTTAGTGCAGAGCCCGGTGTGGGGCTTGAACTCATGAACTGTGAGATCATGACCTATGCTTAACTGACTGGGCCACCCGGGTGCCCCTCCTTACTGAACCTTTCAGCAGTATCAGAGCCACCTCTGATACTATTTTTGAATACTATTCTATTTTTGGAAATAGATAAGAGTTTTCTGTGGCACACATTAAACTTATTTCTATTCTTCCCTTGTGATATATTTCTTTCAGGCTCCTTGTCGACTCCTCCATCCCCCACTTCTATGTTGAAGTAGCCCAGGGCTAGCCTATGGGTTCTGTCTCTTCTCTGGATGGTTGCATTTGGGCCCATTGCTTTGTGTCATTTGTAGGCTGATGACCTTCGAGTATCACCCTAACCCTTTACCTTGAACCATGGAATGGATATTGTTATTATTTGGATGTCTAATAGACGTTCCAAACTTGTTCATCAGGAGGTTTTCCCTCAAATGTGTTCTCTGTGCCTTGCCCATCTTAGTAAATGGCACAACCATTCACTCACTGTCCTGGACCAAAAACCTAGGACTTGTTACTGTCCCCTTTTCTTTTCCCACATCCATGCCATCATCATGACTTCTCAATTCTATTATTTTAAACTTTCATTTTCAGTAGAGAATCTACCCCTACTGCAACAATCCAGGCGAGGGATTATGTTTTTAGCTTATTCTGACAGATGTCTGAGAAATAGATGGTTGGGGACAAGAATGAAAAATGCCCGCTGCACTCCTGTAATGGTCTGAACTCTATTGCAAACATAGTCACAAAGTACACTTCCTTTAGCTGACTGTGCCCCAGGTAGACTTGCCTCCTCTTGTTCTTGACACATGCCAAACTCTTTCCTGACTCAAGGCCTTTACACTCGTTGGTCCTCCTGTCTAGACATTTTCTTGTTATATACTGATTTACTTACTTCTGTTTTCCTACTCTCTTCAACTAGGATGTAATGTACACTTTCTTTTCTGTTCAGCTCTGTATTCCTAAAGCTATAGAAGACCAGTATATGGTAATTGCATGCCAATATTTTTTGAGTGAATGAAAGAATGTAAGTATTTAAGACTTACAATATAACTAGGAAAAACTATCATGCTGTGATAGAAAAAGACTGGGAGATCTGTGTCTACTCCTGAGTCCTGACTCAGCCACTTTGGCAAACAGAATGCTAAAAACTTCTCCATGTATTTTTTCTTTACCCCTAAACATGCAGCTTCTTGTGTCCATTAAAACAAATGACAGCCCACAGAAATGAAAATGTAGGACATGCATTTCCACATTGAGTTCAATACAGCAAAAAACACTTATAATTTTAAGCAAATGGTCTCTCCTCGGTAATAGTGCCCTTTTGATAAAATTTTACTCCACAGGAAATCCATTACAATAAATATCTGTTCCAATATCTGTCCATTTAGCAATAATTCTTTTTATGCTCGATGCCTCTTTCCTGATGAACTGTCCTAGGGACCCTCCTCTGCTTCTCTGTGAGATTTACAGAGTTTCAACTCTGCTTCTGAGTATTTGCTGTTGTCATGGTAGCTTGCTAATTTTGCTTATATTTCCCCCCCATATTTTCCCACAACCTTTGAAAAGACCAAGCTAAAGATGTGCCAAAGGCTATTTCTGACTTAATGTTGTAGGCATGAAAATATTTCTTTTCTTAGCCTCTTGAAAAATGTTAAATGGTTGTCTCAGCGTCATTGATTGAGACTATTTGTTTATTCCCAGGGCTGAAAGTTAAAGCCATTCTATTTTGATAGAACTATTTATTTAAAACAAGCTTGAAATCAAAGCCATCTCATACAGTATGCAGGGAATGCTGTTTAACCCAAGTAATCCCTAAGTAAATAATTTATTGGATTACTTGGTGGGTTGAGAAATGAAGGTAGGATTTGGGTGTATTTGGTTTTTCTTTTTTGTTTTAATTACTCACTAAATAACTGCGTGTGTTGTGTGAGTTTAGAAGAAAACAAAGTCTTACTGGAAGAAGATATTATCCCGGTAGTGACCTCGGGTGGTCCCAAGAAAGAACAGATCCCATGGAGCAGGGACAGCCCTGCTATCCATGGTGGTGTGGAAGCCATACTTGGATCTAATACCTAGCTTTGCCATAAACAGCTGTGTGGCTGCAAGAAAGCCATTTAAACTCTCTGCTTAAACTCCAGTTTCTTTATAAAGTAAGAAAGAAAATCTCTCAGGTCTCTACCAGGTCTGAGATTGAGCCATTCTCTCCTAGACCAGTCAAAAATTATAGGAGTGAGGCAACCACACGGCAGTTTAGCCAGAGCTGAAAGACCATAATGTGGACCTTACTGCAACTCAAGACATGGATGGCCCCTCCCTTCCTATTTATATCAAACATTTACTTCCTTCCAAGCTGGAAAAAAACGTCATTTTGTTTCATTGTGTTTTCCTTTATGGGAAACATGGCACAGGTCTTGTACTAAAGTTGTTTTACTCTTGTGGATAAAAGAATACAATACAGATATTTGTTTCTTATTTTTACTTTTTCAATGAGTTTTTGGAAAACTAATAGTTTGTTGTCAATTAAAAATACATCTCTATAGGCCCAGATGTTCATGGATCTATGACGGCTGCACACCCTGCCTCTTTG